GGAGAAAGTTAACCCGCTTACAGAATTGTGCAAGAGGTATTCTACTGCGAATGTAAGTGAACAAATGTAAGGAAGTAATGAAATAAATATCTTATAACATTTAAGGACTCAATTTTTGGTCATTTCTTTGGTTTAGAATTAGGTTGAGATGTTTAATACTTACTAGCTGTTTCAAGATGCAGTATAGCTGTTTTGATCAACGGTAAAAGAAATATTGCACTCTGTACTGTCAAGTCAAGTTTAATGTTATGACAGATATGAATTATCGACCTTTCCTGAAGTTTACTGAAGGTTAAACAAAAAGGGATAGAATGAACAAGAGAGAATACACGTGCATGAAACGATTCGTGAGAAGTTCGACTGGACCAGGCGTCTGAACATTTCAGGGTCACTAAGGTTCCAGATTTTGATGAGACCTTACCGAGCTTTTGAAAGTTTATTTTGCATACACAGGGATAACTCGCTGCGGGTTGCCTTAACATTCGATTCACAGTGAAAGATTTATAAACAAATCGCTGACACAAAACGCAAACAGATTTTCATACGGTGAATCTTCCCTTGTGAAAAATTTATCTTCTGGAGAAATCTTATACTTGTCGTAGATCCGTTGGAGGAAAACTCTAAAGAGGAAACGGTCTCTATGTAACAGACCTGTTTGCGATGAGAAACGTAAAGAGCAGATGCGTATGTCATGTAGGTATGACGTATGTCGTACAACGTCAGTCGACATTTATGCTGGTCAATCTTTGTTATGTGAAGGCGAGAGCTGCGAGACTTCATTCTGTAGATAATTTGGACATAAAAACGTTCAGGGTGCTACGGTCACTTTTTGCTGGGGTTCTAGCGTTAAATTCAGGTGCAAGTGGCTACTCTGAGAAGAATTTCATTGTCGACGCAGTGTTCTTCCTTGCGGAGGAAATGTTACAAGTATGTTTTAAAGCTTTTTTTTCATATTGTGCTGTTGTGACACCTTTGAAATTTTAAATTGTACCACGAAGCATGCCGTAGGTCATGATGACTTGCAGCAGCATGTATGGATTTGTGAATGATTTTTAGGCGGCGGACTAGGCAACACAAGACGGGCGAAGGGTCCCGGTGGCGTCACGTTGGAAGAGAACGGACGGGAGGCGAGCCAGTATGAATAATGCTGTTTCATTATCTCTTGTGTATAACTTTGAATTGAATTTTTTCAGAGAAAGACCGGCTGAAATAATCCGCGATCGAGAAATACGTACTAGTCGCAGTCGGGACTTCGATGCACGGGATAGGAACGGGAGGCCTGAACGACATCGGTCTAGGAGTCGCAATTTGGACCGACGAGACTATGATCGTGATCGTGACCGCGACCGTGATCGAGATCGTGATCGTGATCGAAACCGGCGCTACGATGACCGTCGTTAAGCTCACCGTCACATTACTTCCCTGTCGTCGAATGAATTTTGACGTGTAAGCAAATTGTATATCCCATCTCCACCTCATCGGTGGTATTTTTACATTGGATTCTACCATGTAACTTTGACTCTGTATGCTGGATTAGTTTCTGCTATTCTTGGTATTCAAGTAAAGTTTTGGCTGAGCAAATAGAGATTCATTTCATGTGTTCATTGCACTAGAGCTTAAACGGCAAGGTTCTTGGTAACATCAAGTGGCGAGACGGTTCTTGAACACAGAGCAGGTGGGCGTTTGTTACGGTCGAATTTTTCATGAGCAGCCGCACAGTCATGTACACGTGATGATAGTTTGATGTCGTGCAACGCGTCAGCGTTCCATTTCCTGCCCTCGACCGCACAAAGGAACCAGCTGGTGCTCAATGAGTTCAGCGTGAATAGCTTATAATTAACCGGATAAGGCCATTGCAGATATATTCCAAGGCTGAAAAATGAAGCCCAGCCGGTAAAACGACCGCAGTCATGAAGATCAGAACGTGCATATTATGATTTCTGTCAGATAAATTTGATGGCAGGTTAACAGATATCCGCGATGTCATTCCAGAACCTGTGAGCTGGTCACAAACTTTGACATTCCGAAATAGCGTTGCTAATTTTTTTTATGATTTCTATTCGCTAATCCTGATGGAAAGAAGTGTTTTGATAGTCTCCCGTCATATTTTCGGATTCGTACGGCGTAGTCCCACTGTCTCTGCTTTCGATAGCTTGGGAACCGTTTAAGCATTATATGCCTAAATTTTAGCCTAAAACTTAAATAAGACATTTTGGTCCTTGTGATGCAAGAACGCAAAACAGCGTCACTTTGTTGGGTCTGACAAACAGCTGTTCGGACACGGACGGTTATACTTCGAACCATAGGCATACATAACAAAAACTAACTCCATTATCATTCGGTTACGGTAAAACGTACTTCTTGTTACCACTGATAAGAAGAATAGATTTGTCACTTCTAAAATGTTAATTTAATATAATTTTTTACTTCCCTATGTTACTGAGGTTGATTTATATTGCATTAAGCGATCATCGTCGTTCACAGTACCTTATTGCTAGGTATTATTGCTCGAGCTGCTCAGCATAATTATGGTATACTGCTAATCTCATTTTGAATTTTTTCTGATGCAAGCTGTCTGATATAAATCGATACCAATTTCGTGTACTAAGAGTCCTGAAGTGCGACCCTTTTAGTTTACGCCTACCGGCAGTCCAGAAACTAGTTTTTCTTAGACAAGAATATTATCAATATAACGTGGCGACAGACAGCTACTGTTCGAAAATATTTTGTTCGATGCATCAGTGATATGATTTTGCATCTCTTCGCTA